TTACTAAATTGCTTTTATTTCTTGTTCATGTTTTACTAAATTGCTTTTATTTCATAACAGTTTGGAAAATAACACGGTTTTTTTTTTGTATATTTTTGTGTGTGTGTATATATATGTTATAAACAAAAATTATATACTTTTTCGGCTATCGAATGTAAATAATTTCTGACGCTAGCTAAAAATAAAAAAAGCCCAATTATTTTTAGTGAAATAGGACTGTTGTATTCTACCATGGTGAAATTTATTTGTTAGATCATTCTCCCAACGTTTGAGTGGATAGAAAAGTACATCAGATATAGTAGCAGCATAAGGTAAGAGATAAAGGTATTTAAATTATCTTGTGCGCACCTCAACTATTTCGTTGATGTGCATCATTTTTCATTAGCATGAATACCGGATAACTCTGTCCCCGAAACAAAGGAGAAGAAAACACGTAACATTTTTTGTCTTTATTGGACTTAAATTTTAGTTTCCTATGGCTATTCGAATACATATATTTGTGATAATTATAAGCTGATTAAAGCAAGTGACATGAATAGGAGACCCTTCAAATGAAAATAGCATATGCCTCCAAAAGGAATTAAGTCTTTTCCTCTATTGGCGAAAATATTTTCAAAAGTGCAAATCAAAATTTTATTTGTGACAATAGTTTATGCCACACCAATAATGAGGAAGTTTAACCAGAAATCCCATGCAGTGATGAAGTTGTATCTGTATGAACTATAGGTCACGGATTCGAGCTATGGAACCAGGCACTAATATTTTTATTAGAGTAAGTCGTATACATCACACCCCTTGAGGTACGACCTTTTCTCGAACCCGACATAATGCTTTGTACACCGGGCACTGCCCTTTTAAACCAAAAATCTCCTGCATAAGTAACCAAAAGCTTACTTAAAAGAAAATCTTCAAGAAGATTGTGTGATGCCCTACATGTTGTAAATATGATAGCTAGTTTTTTGTGTTTTTCTTTTGCGAAAATGGGACATTGGTCTCACTAATTCTCTCAATGACTCAATGCATCTGGCCACCTATAATGAAACCAAGGATATGGACAAACATAAAATAGACCCATACATTCATTGCACATAAAAAAAACTTTGTAGTATTGTCATGGGATATAGTGTATTGATGTCTTAACCCAACCACAGAATCATAGAACACCAATATCTAGACCTTACCAAGACTTCAAACACTCGCCTACAGAATAAAATAAAATATTTCATCTCTAACTGGATAATTTTTTTATTTATCCAAATTTCAGTTTGAAACTCGTGAAATTAACCCTTTTTGAGCTAACCCTACAATTTGGATAAATCCACGAGAAATCTCATAAAATTTTCAGTAAACCACTACTTTGGATTTGTGATCCAAATTTGGAACCATGACTAGACATGCAAAAGTTGGAATAATGCTACTGAATTACTATATGAAATGAAAATAAAGCATTGTGTATGCTAAAAGGAGGAGCCCATTACTTAAATGGCCACTCAACTATCCCAAATTATCTGCTGAAGTCACTTTTCTTTTGTTTCTAACAACAAAGTCGCTTAACTATGTCTGTTGCACTCAAAGGTCACTCAACTAGATTTTCTAAATTTTTAATTGTTAAATACCTATTTTACCATCTAAATTATCAATTTTTTTAACTTTTTAAATATTATAATTTTTTCTCTTTTTAATCTACATTGTAGACTTACCTATAGATAAATATATTTTATTTATAAAATAAAAAATTAGTTTTCAGCTCATATAATGACGGAATAATAATATAATTGAGCATAATTTTCAAGAATATATAATGTATATTATAAATATACTTTTATTTAAATAATTATTTTTATATTACGTGCATGAAATATATATTTTACAACATTTATTTTCTTTCATTCTCAATTGCGTAAATAAATTTTTGAATTGTTGTCGTTAATACTAAAATTATTATTACGAACAAATTATTCTAATTATTTTTCTTATTATGCTCATTATTTTGTTATTCCAGTATTATATATGCTTAAATATTCTTATTTTATTAATTTATAAATAAAATTTATTTATTCTATAGGTAAGTCCATAATATAAATTAAAAAGGAAAAATCATAATATTAAAAAGTTAAAAAAAAATAAAAAGAAGATAAATGTTTATCATTTAGAGGGTAAAATATGTATTTGGCAATTCAAAATTTGAAAAATCTAGTTGAGTGACCTTTTAAGTGCTATAGGCATAATTAAGAGACTTTATTGTTATAAAAAAACAAAAATAACCTTTGCAAATAATTGGAATAGTTGAATGATCATCTACATCCACCAAAGCCGGCCTATGAACATGCTTTGTATTATGGTAACCAGTAAGTTACTGGTGATTTCTATCAAACAAATCCACATGATTTTTGCTACCTCCCGTCAGCATAAATATTGAGTAATTCTATTCACAAATTCTTAGTGAGTTACTTCCCCATTTAGACACCTAACAATTGTCACCACCCAATGCTTAGGGGTAGGACCCAAAGTAAGTTATATTAGAATTTTACAACAGAATACGTCAACCTTTCTTATTGTATTTTGGGCAATTATTGGGTTACCGACAGTTGGATACTTATGATTGTGATTTGCTTTGACAAGTGCTTGTTTTATCATGTGATTTTTAACTAAAACAGGAAAATTTTAGATTGCCTTGAAAATAGAAAAAACTCTATCCAGTTTTCTGTAAAATTTCAATAAAATGTACTTGGAGCCCCTACCTCCTAAGCACCGGTTAGGGTCCTAAATTGGGTCGTGACAACAATCAAACAAAGATTTCATAGCATATTCTCAACCAGAAGAACATAGCTAGAGCTCTGAATCTGCTGTTCACTTCCCACATATCATATTCTTACAGACTGCAAAGCTATATCGAACATAGCTTACAATGTTCAAGTAGAGGCGGAGCCAGAATTTTAAGTTTATGGTGTTCAGGATTCTAATCGTTTTAAGTTACTGGGTTCTGAATTATTATATATTTAAAAGATTTTTTAAGACAAATACAAGATTCGAATCAAAGCTGCATGGTTTGGCCGAACCCGCTATCAGCACTCTAATTCAACATATTGCTTAATTCTGCAATACGTGGAAGCCCATAAGCTTGTTTCTTAGTTAGTTAATAACTTATAATAACTCATTATTGTCATTATATGTAACCATAAACTAGTGCATTATTAGTAAACAGCACACATATTAGTGACACCATAAGAAAATGGCAGCCACTCATAAATATATCAGTGCAGCCACCTTTGACTAAATCTGTAAAAATCTTCTATAAAATAGATAATTTACAAACAACAAGGGTTATATAAATTCAGAACACAACAAAACTTCTATGTCATCTACAGGAAGTGACTAAAACAAATGTTAAGCAATCAAGATCAAAGAAAAAGCCAGATATGATCATTATAAAGAATAGGATCCAAGTCACTGATATGCAAAAGCATTAAAAAAAAAATATCACCACTTGTATTGTCACTTCTACTCTACCTAATAAGTGAGCTAATAAACAGATAAAAAATGGTTAAGAAAGTCTATGTTCTTTAACACAGGGCTGTTTCTACTTAATGGGAGGTGATCTTTTCACTCAGATACAGACCATCCAATTTGGTGGACATTGTCAAAATTCTTTTTTTATAACCAAGGAATCCCGAGGGCCAATTGGCGCACAGTTCAAAATTGGGGATAATGTTTGCCCTTCCATCCTTCTCCACTTAAATGATAAGCTTTTTCTATGGTCAGGTTCAAACCCCTGACTTGCACGCTAAAGCGCATACTTAAATGATAAGCTTTTTCTATGGTCAGGTTCAAACCCCTGACTTGCACGCTAAAGCGCATACTTAAATGATAAGCTTTTTTTATGGTCAGGTTCAAACCCCTGACTTGCACGCTAAAGCGCATACTTAAATGATAAGCTTTTTTTATGGTCAGGTTCAAACCCCTGACTTGCACGCTAAAGCGCATATACATATGCGCTGCATTTTTACCACTAAACCAAAGTCATGGAGGTAATAGACATTGTCAAATCTTGTCCAAACAAGAACACATTTGAAGGTTACAATATCCATAATTGTCTAACAATGTAACCTAGAAGAAAATCATACAACGTCCATACAGCAGACTTATAAAGAGGACAGCCCGGTGCACAAAGCATCTCGCGTTCACGCAGGGTATGGAGAAGACCTGTACCTCAAGGGTGTGATGTAGACAGCTTACCCTAATGCAAGCATTAGTGGCTGCTTCCACGGCTCGAACAATTTTATCGTTGCTCCAAGGCTCCCCTTCGTATCATCGGACTTATAAAGTGAGAAATTATACTGCTGGGAACAAACTCATTGTCTATATTTCTGCTCATATTAGCATTTAAAGTAAGAGTTCAGAAGAAAGAGGAACAAGAAACACCAGCCAGTTAATCAAGAAATGGTCACTATGTTAAGCTCCCTGCTTTGTTCCTCTGAGATAGAAGAAACAGAATAATTCACCCCACAGCCTGATCAACAGATACTATAACAAGAACTTTGTACAACTTCCACTCTTATTTTCTTCTAACAGGAAGCATATTACAAGACATTCATTACATAAAGAAGCAAAACAAAGTAAGATGATCAAACCCCTCAAATAATTGGAACACTTAAACCTTCAAAACTTCCATCTCCAGCTAACTGCAGCTTCTGCAACTGTTAAACTGCTTAGTTAGACGTGGTAGCAAAATAATTTTCGACCAACTACCACAAACAACACTCTTTTTTCTTTGCTTTTTTTCTTTTAGATCAGTCACAAACCAAAAATGTATCATTTCCAATCCATGCAAATGAAAATGTAAGTAAGTAGAATTAAAAACCCGACCACATCTTTGTCAAGAACTCTTCTTTCTGGATTCTGTCTAAAAGCATAATCAAACACACTAAGTTCAAAATTCCTAGTGGATTTTGATGGAAAACCAAAACAAATATGGTTCACTAACAATCTAGACCATTACAAACAAACCTAGAGTCTATGCTAACTATGGTAAAAGAAGAAAAATGTCCAAGAAGATGCTGTAGACGACGACTCAGTACTATCCTACCCTATATCCACAAGCTTCATGAATCATCATTCCTCCCACTCCAATCTTCTGCTTTCTCATCTCCAAAACCTTCCGGTGGGAATTGGAATGCACAGTCGGCGAGAAAGTAGGGCTGTTTGCCGGGCGATACTCTGGCAACAACCTGCCTGACTTATAGCGGACCCCACATGCATTACACAGCGTTTTCGGCCCCAGGGGACCCGCCCTCCATTGTGGGGTCTTATCAGCTCCACAGTGTTGGCACCTCCTCCCAATGCTAGCACTTTTAGCTGAATTCAACGGTAATGAAAGCAATGGTTCACGTTGCTTAACGCTCTTGAAACTCGGTTTGTTCACCGACATACAATGCTCGCTTGGCAAGTCAGCAAAGCTGCCTCTTTGTCTTCTACGCCTTCTCTTGCTCCGTGCACGAACGGGGTAATTAACCGGGACTTTTAAGCTGGCACAGCAGCTCATATACGCATTTGCATTAGCACTGCCATTACCACTGCTGTTACAGGTGCTGCTACTATTCTCCAGCACTGAAACCGGGCTATGGTGATCAAATACAATACTCGGGTTATCGGCAAGTATGCCAAACTCCACTGCTGGAAATGCATCTTTGTTTGACAGCCATTCCAATTCTTCCTCAACACATTCCTGCAAAATTTAACATGTTAATAATCTTGAGTGAGCCAGCAACCGACAAATTTTCCAGTTTTTTACTCGCACCTCGACTATTTTACTGGGCACTGCTACCTTCCAACAACACAGATAACGGGTATATCCACCAAGGCTTAGAAAATTATTTTAATCATATATATTTTCATGTTCAATTTTCAAAAATTTGTTTAAAAAAAATAAGCTTTAGTGTTTTCATTATACAATATAAAGGAGGGAATCTAGAAAGAAAATAAAAGTCAAAATTCTCAAGTGGGGCAATTTGCAATTTTGACAAATTTGTGGTAAATAAATATTGATGATAGGGACAAAAGTGTCTTTTCAAGATTGTGAAATACAAGTTGAAACGGATATGGTGCATTTATTTGAACAGCTCAGACATCGTGACAACCAATGCCCAATCATAAAGACATGTTGCGAACATATTCCAAAATTCCTAAAATATCCCCCACATTTTAATTTCCAAAAAAACACAACTTTTCAAAAAAAAAATCAGCACAAAAAAAGGCCAAATTTTAATAATAATATCTAGAATTCAAAGAATTTGTTTTTCTCAAACACTAGCCCCATGTCATGCACTCCTTTTGGTAACGTTAGGGTTTCAAGGGCAAAATGGTCCAAATTTTTCCTAACGCCTCCCAACTTTTAGCCAGTCAATCCACTTTATCGTTTCCACCACAACCGGTTCTAAAACTGCCCACTTTTTCCACTATTATTTACCAAAATGCCACTCAATCGCAAATGACGAGCCACCAGTTTTGACTCAGTCGCCTCCTATAAGAACACAGCCATGCAATAAAAGGATGGTGATATAATCGAAATTAATTCACCTTTGATTAAAAGTCTCGTGTTCGAACCCTAAGAATAACTAAATTTGTAATAGAGTATTTTACCCTTAATGGACTTACCCAACACGTATTCGAATTAGTCGAGCCAATGAGTTTTAAATAAGGAACACATATTCAACTCGTCCGAGTCGACTCACCAAAAAACGAGTCACGACATTTCTGGCCACAGAACAACCCCCGGGTTACATTGAGTCAAGCCAAAACTCGGAACCCAGAGCCATTTTCAAGGCCAAAAGAGCAGAGAAGAAAAGAAAAAAACAGTGAAAATGAAATTTGTATTAAGACTTACAGGGTGTTGTTGGGAGGGAAGAAGGCTAAGAACAGGGTTTGAGGAATCCAAGGAAGAAGAATAAGAAGAAGATAAAGGGTGTTTATGTTTGGTAATGGATTTTGTTGTTTTTTCATCATCGTCAAAAACAGTTTCATCTTCCAAAGAGAAGTTGAGAAGGTCATCATCTACATCCACCATAAAACATGAAGCAGCACTTGGGTCCAAAGCCTCCATTTTCATTTTCCAGAAAAAACAGAGAAAGAGAAGTGAAACAAGGGTTTGTGGTTATAGGTTTGGTTTGGTTTGGTTTTGTTTTTGAGAGAGAAAAAGGAAATACTAAGTGGGTGGGTGGCGAAAGTTGAAAGTTGAAAGTTTAAAGAGAGAGACAGAGATATGGTTCTCTTTTTACGGGGAATTATTATTATCAACAAAAGTTTTGAGGTTTAAACAAATAAAAGAAAAACAAAGTTTTTACGTTTTTCTTTTCCAATGCTAATTACTAATTAGAGGATGTCACCTTTTTTTTAATGTGAGAAACTGGCAGGTGATAAATTAATTTTTTTATTTTATTTTTCATTCGATATTTGCATTAGGACTTGATTAAATCCAAATTTCTATTGAAAGTTTTACATTAGAGGTAAAACATTTCCTAACAAAGACGATTTCATACTCAAGTCTCGAACTCGAGACATTTAATTAAAGATGAAGGAATACTTATCATTCCACCGCAATCCTTATTGGTGATAAATTGAACTTATAATCGTAGACTAATTTATACCAAAAAAAACTAGAGATATTATTAAATTATATATTGTTAATCATAAATATATGTCTTAAATTACATGCAAAGCGAGGAAAAAAAATACACATTTGGAAAATATTACTCTCCTTATATCATTTTATGTGCTACTCCTTGTTTTTAGTCTTTCTCAATCAAAATTATAACTTTTATTAGAAATAATTTAACGTTATATTATCATTTTATTCTTAATAAGGTGATCACAAGTTTAAACTTTTTTTCTTTAATTTTGTACCAACAGAACATCATCACATAAAATAGGTCAAAGAGTGTAAATACCATTAAGTATCATTTACTCCTTTTATTTAGTTTTTTCTAATTTTCATTTCCTTTTACAAGAAATAATTTCCTACTCTAGATCTTTGACCATTGGATTCAATTTCTTTAAAAAAATAACAAACTGCTTCGTAACCACACAAACAAAGAAAGTAAAATTAGTTTTCCCTTGATTTTTTTTAAATTAGGATATGCTAATTTGGACGGCCATTTCAAAGAAGTTTTCTTATGTTGTTATTATTGTTATATGGAGATAAAAGCTAGAAAAGAATATTTATGTGACCGTGGAATTATTTGATAACTGAATTTTTGTTTTGCATGTAATTTGAAGTTAATCTTATTGTTTTAACTTTGAATATTGAACTAAACCTAATCTTGTTTTGAGTCTGAATTCATTGTAATTTGTCACTACATGCACATTTATTAAGTCAAACTAGTATTAGTATCTGCGCGATGCGCGGATAATTAAAAATACGATCTACACCGTAAAGTTTTTAATATGTTAGTGTTAATACCACCTTTACAACTAAATATTAAAAACATTTTAAGACTTCAGTAAAACTTTCATTCCATCTCCTAATAAATGTTCCATAAAAAATAATGATATATACTATACAACTTGTTTGATATGAATGTTCCACGAAAAATAATGAAACTATACAATTTGCGATATGAAGCAAGTGCTTAAGAGAACATTTTTGTAGCAAATGCTCCTGATATATTGCAGTGCATTTTCCAAAAGTTGTCCTCTATATTGAGGCAATATATTATGTCAAACATTAGCTTATTCAGAATCAAAATGTATGCAGCAATGCATATGCAAAAACTAATCTCCTGCTAAGGCTCTCTCTTTATTATTGTCTGGCATTTGTGGTAAGTGAAACTTTTTTACTCTTTCTACCATTCCACAAGCTTTGTCTATTAGCCTAACACTATCTAAAGCCAAAGTTGAAGTAGAAAAAGGACAGGTCAACTGTGGAGAGCTGATAAATTCAGCTATTCAAACCATAGATGAAGCCGGTGGAAGGGTTGATTATGCTGAGGTGAGAACTTAAACAATAATAATATATTTCATATGGATATAAACAATAGAATACCAAGTGGGAACTCAATCTGTTCCCAATATCAAAAATTGATGAAACCCCTATAATTTTCAGTTTTAATTTATGCTTGCTGGTCTTAATTTCAGATTGTTTGGTCCAACCACAAAGTTTTTCATAACGTACAATCCCATTTCATATATTTTTATTTTGAAAATACGCATAACATCTCTTCCAAATAGTTGCACGAATTCGATCTCCCTAAAATAAAAAATGTGGAAAGAAATTTAAGTTAGTAAGGTGCATAAGTTGAAAAAATACATCACAACTCGAAAAAAATAACAACATATAAAAGAATATGCACATTTTCATCTTGAATAATTAATTCAATTGAATTAGAATTTTCTGGTTTCTCGCGGTCTGGAATGTGCCATAATCTAACAACACGAACCTTCAAATTCCAACTCATTTTGGACATTGATATTTCGCTGATATAGTTATAGTTTGGAGCCATACTTTGCAGAAGTTTGTGTGAAAGCTAAACCCTAAGCAATGTAGAGAAGCCAACTCTAAAGAAAAGTTGCTTGAATAAAGATTTTGTAAGGAAAGATTATCATAGTAAATCAATTTTTATGTATATGAAATCCTAATATTTAAAAAAGGCATCGGTAAATCAATTTGTATGTGTGAGTTCTGAAGAAATGATACGAATCTTCCAGTTTTTAGCTTTAGGCATTTTTAAATTTTCAACGTTTTTTTTGTGGCTATCTAGAATTTGTTAACCACCAAACCTTAATTTTTCTTGTCTTTTTTCCTTTGTCCTCCTGTTAGGTTTTTAATACTATTTCCTTTAATATAATATAAATGTAAGATACAAAATATTTATTTAATTATTTCTTTCTTAAAAAAGAATATCTACCATAACTGAATTATACACAAAATTTAATTAAAGATACCTATAATAATGTATATTATTCGCAAATAAGGTCAGATACAAAGCTTATACTAAATATAGAATTATTATTTCAACTTAAAATAAATGCGTAAGATACAAAACGAAATTTTAGTTGATTCTTTCTCAAAAAAAATACCTACCATAATTGAATTATACACAATATTTAATTAAAGAAACCAAAACTCATAAATAAAAAATGTTCATTTAATTATTTCTTTCTTAAATAGAATACCTACCATAACTGAATTATACACAAAATTTAATTAAAGATACCAATAATAATGTATATGATACCTATATTAATGTGCATATTGTTCGCAAATAAGGTCAGATACAAAGCTTGTACTAAATATAGAATTATTATTTCAACTTATAATTAATGTGTAAGATACAAAAAAGAAATTTTAATTGATTCTTTCTCAAAAAAGTATACCTACCATAATTGAATTATACACAAATTTAAGTAAAGATACCTATAGTTATAATATATTTGTTTGCTTAATGAAAATTGCATCCCTCTTTGTGTACGTCCAACATATTCTCAAAAAGAGAACATTTTTAGTTTAAAAAAGAATAAATTATACACAAAATTTAATTAAAAATACTTATAGTAATGTATATGATACCTATTTTAATGTATATTGTTTGCAAATAAGGTCAGATACAAAGCTTGTACTAAATATAGAATTATTATTTTAACTTAAAATTAGTGTGTAAGATACAAAACGAAATTTTAATTGGTTCTTTCTCAAAAAAGGATACGTACCATAACTGAATTATACATAAATTTAAGTAAAGATACCTATAGCTATAATATATTTGTTTGCTTAATGAAAGTTGCATCCCTCTTTGTGTACGTCCAACAAATTCTCAAAAAGAGAACTTTTTTGTTTAAATGTTAAAATAATTGGCTTTGATTAATTAAAGAATGAAATTCAATTTACAAAAAATCTTGGACTACTACTTTCATTAAATATTTTTTCATTTATAATCAAAAGTTTTTATGTTGTCTTAAAATTGCCAAGTGACTTCATTTTAGCTTGTCACTTGGCTTAACCATATTGCAAACTACTCTTCTTTTAATATAATATAGAAGATTGCAAACTACTCTCCTTTTAATATAATATAGATACAAAATATTTATTTAATTATTTTTTATTAAAAAAGAATACCTACCATAACTGAATTATACACAAAATTTAATTAAAAATATCTATAATAATGTATATTATTCGCAAATTAGGTCTGATACAAAGCTTGTACTAAATATAGAATTATTATTTCAACTTAAAATTAATGTGTAAAATACAAAACGAAATTTTAGTTGATTCTTTCTCAAAAAGAAAACCTACCATAATTGAATTATACACAATATTTAATTAAAGAAACCAAAACTCATAAACAAAAAATGTTCATTTAATTATTTCTTTCTTAAAAAAAATACCTACCATAACTGAATTATACACAAAATTTAATAAAAGATACCAATAATAATATATATGATACCATATTAATGTGCATATTGTTCGCAAATAAGGTCAGATACAAAGCTTGTACTAAATATAGAATTATTATTTCAACTTATAATTAATGTGTAA